GTCGTAACTTTGCGAATGTGTATGTGTTTTTTTTTATTTCTTCGGCGTTGCTGTCGTTGTCAATTGTCACTGTGGTCATTTGGCTATGAATCGTATTGATGCATACTAAAAAAAACATACAAGCGAATGGGATGGAAAACCATGTTCGTATACATATCGAAAGGAAATAGAAAAAGAGAATCCGAGAAACAAAAATCGAAACCAACAAAAAGCGGACAAATGAAGTGAATAGTAGAGTCGAAAAGGACGATATAACAAATGGATGATACTTTCCATCATGTCAACATGCTACTTATCCGACAGTCGTAGCAAAGATTGGCACGAGTGTGTGTGAAAGAGAAAGAAAATATTGAGTGGAATAGGGAGAAAGCCTGGATGCTAAAAGTGAGCTCACAGTACATACTTACCCGAATATAGCCGCTTTGATCGTGGAAATAAATAAAATTGCACGGGCGTGTTGACTTTTTCATAAGCACATCGATATGTTATACAATGTATAATATCGGTTTTAACGCGAAGGAAGAAAGTTGTTTTTTTTTTTCGTTGAAAAAAGAGGGGAGGTTTTTTTCATTTTCTTAACCTTATAAATCGTATCGTTTGGTTGATTGCGACAAAAGATCAAAAGACGAAAAGATGTTCGTAGAAAATATTTTTTTCAGAGGAAAAATAAAATACATAAAAGATTTGATGACAATATAATATCAAGTTTTTTTTTGTAAATTGTACATATTGTAGCATTGTTATAATCGACATCAACTTCGTCTGAATAATTCATATAATCATATTTATAAGCCATAATGAAAAAAATATATATCTCTTCTGGAAATGAAATAAAGAAGGAAATAGTCAACCAGTTTTTGAAACTTCATTGAAAATCTATTCGACATGAACGTGATGGCACAATTTGTATGTTTTTCTCGTAACATATCGTACTCAATTCTCATTTGAAGTATTATGGCACTGAAATGTTGCGATCAACCACTGTAGAAACATTTCAAACTCAGAAAAGACAAAGAAGGGAAAAAAAACCAGACGACATGAACATTTCATTTATCAACTTAATTGTTTAATTCGGTCACTTTTCATTCGATTTAAGCCAAAATGTTTGCTCGTGTCGTACGTAAGCCTTATAAAACGGAAATGTGCGAGTTTTTCTTTTCACGAACTAACCTTTCGTCAGCTACTTAAAGTAGAGTAGACTAAAATGAGAGCGATGATAATGTTGAAGCAATATTTCGCAATTGCAAGCGTATGATATAGAATGAAATGGTTTGAGGGAAAGTGTGCGAAAAATGGTTTGCTCAATTTAATCGAATGAAGTAACCACAGATGCTGTTTCGATAGTGGAATCGACATTTCTGTGTAACATTCGATTTTGTGAACGTGCATTGAATTCAAGAAAAAAGAGGATTCGTGGAACGAAAGCAATTTATAACGAATTCCCACTGTGCATTCGGTTTAAATTACGAATTTTGGATGAAGAAACGGATTCACCCAAGTTCTACCATATTCACATTTAAAATCAATTATTTTTCAACCTGAATTCGCATTCATCGACATTCTCATTTCCGCGCTATCAATACGATGCGAATCATTTCATTAAACATTTGTCCTGAAGAAGGTGGCACCTTTAATATGGAAACTTTCCCATGTTAGAAGATTGAATTTATTTTTTTATTCATTTTGTATACGAATAACAACGTACTAAAAGAATATACTATAACTAAAAGAAAATAACATCGAACAACACTCTGCTTGATGACCCATTAAAACGCACGAATGTCTTCCATAAGTTTTATTGACAACCAGAAAACACACTGAGTGTTGAATGAATTAAACGCATGTAGATCAAATGTCTCAATACTTACCCGGCATAGACGAATGAAAATTTTAATTTGTCTCCAATTCTGTCTCTCCCTCTCTCTTTCTGCGTGTGTATGTGTGTGTGAAAGAATGTAAATATATGACAATATAATATGTGTATTCGGTTCTCGAAGCTTTCTTGAATTGTTTCGGTTTTGTTGTTATTTCGCATGTTGATTGTCTATAAATATTACCAAAACAGTTGATTTTCACGTTAGAAATGAGTGTGGCGCATCCGTTTATTGTTCTATATTTTACACCTAATCTATACATGTACATATATTTCGAACCGTGAACGAACCAACGAACCGTCAAATGAGAGAAACAAAAAGTGGGTAGAAAACACGGTCTACGTATTCCTTAATATTGTCGTGGTCTGTTGTCAGGAGAATGAAACAAAATGTATACATATTTACTTTCTTTTTAATTTCTTGCGATGCCATTTTTCGTTTTCTGTTTCCCTCTGAAACGGTTTCGCTTCAAGTGAAATCGTTTTAATTAATTTTTTTTGTTCCCACAGTTGAAGTATCGTTTTTGAATTTAAATTATAAAAAGTGTATGGCCGCAAGGGAACTTGGTGGGAGGGCTGTAAAAGTTTGATACGGCATGTACGTTGCAGATATCTTGAAAGACAATATTGTATCGAAACTATTGAAATGGAAACATTTGTTGGAAATTGTTTTATAGTGGTTTTGTTTCGCCGTTGATCAAAATTGTCGATGTAAGTTCTTTTCTTTATGTGTATATGGTCGCTCCATCACGCACATTATTTTCCATCCAAGATATCCATCACATTGAAGATGGACCGTTATCGTTAATTGTTCGGGTGCATTCAATCATCTTGATTGTTGTGGTGTATTTGGCTTCTAAATGGTATTCCGTATGCTTTGTAATAAGTGAACAAGAGAAATATGTTGCAAAAAGGCGAAAAAGCAAATCCCAACATCAATAAGAACAACAAATCGTGTTGAATATTCACATTGACAATCACCACATCCACCCTCAACACAATAACAATCACACACAGAACATTCACGTTTGACATACGTACATTTGTAAAACATATAATGTGCCCGTCAAATATTTTGTAAATAAAGACGTTATTTAGTGTCATCGATGATTCCATCGAAAATAAATTATACACAGTCACCGAATAGACGTTTGAACAGTGAACGATGAATCGAAGCGAACGAATAATAAAAGTGAAAAGCGAAAAAAAAAAACGAAACGAAAGAATTGAATGGCTGAATGTACGCACAATAGCAAAAATGAAAGAGAGAATGAAAGAAAAAGCACACGGTGACAGACACAATGAAGAAATGCAGCGCATTTGTGTGTGACGCTTTTGTTATGTGTGTCGACGTACGAAATGTGTGGATAAATATGAAATGGGTGATTGAGCTCAATATTTTATGCGACGTTTTTTCCCTTTATCAATTCACAAGCCCAAAGTAGATTATCCGAAAACGAAATACCATGATTATCATGAGGTGAAAATGAGCGGGAAAGCGTCGTACATACCACAAACAAAAATCCGAATAAATGCTTGAATATTGACACATTAAAATAAAGTAAACGAATTAACATTTGAATGTTTTTCAAGTGAATCATTTACTATTTCGTTATGTTGAAATTTGCATATAGATAGAAACGGATATGGCAATGTGACATGAAACTTGGAAATTTGTCGCAAAATGCAATTATCCTTTTTGATGATGCATTGGTGAACGAAGCTTTCGTGGTTAGCCAAACAACATTTTTTATTCCATAAATAAAACGAATACCACAACATTTGAGCTACAAAATGATATCGCCCGCAAAAATCAAATAAAAAGCGTACTCCAGATAAAACCGCACAACGACTTCAGACATGGCAAACAAAATGAAACCATTTTCATCCGAAGCGCCTTCTAAGTAAACTCAAAATGTTCGGAAAATACTCTGCACTAATGTTGAAAGTAAATTCCTCACCCTCTCTCACCGAAACTGATTCATTTTTTGTCGTTTCGAAATGAGTTATATATATATATATATTAGAGAGTGAGTAAATTATGAGATGAACGCCGAACATCCACCCCCTCTTCTTTATCGCCGAACCAAACCGAACCGAATTTAACCAAAAAATTCCAATTGAGCCGCTTTATTATTTGATATTTTCTGTTATTAAATATTTACTTTTACGTTGCCGTCTCGCTTTTTGTAATTTATTCCGTCGATCTGAAGATAATCCGTTATTAAGGACATTTTTTCACATATTTCGTACAGTATACATCTTTTTGCCGTTTCATTGATTGGTGTCTTATCGACCATCATCTATTTTATTTTGGTTTGCTTTTTTGGTTGAAAAACTACCGAAATAGCTTGAATATGAATTTCGGTTGTTGCGATGAGTTTTTTTTGTTTTGCTTAATTATTTTGGTGCGTGTTAGTCTGTTTTCATTATGAAGATTAATTGTGGCGAACGACACTGTACGGCTATCCATGCATAGCTTCACAAATTATTGCAAATTGCGTGCGACAAATTTTAATTTATCAATTATGCTCGTCGTTAATAGAACCGAAAGCCATCGTAGAGAGTATGAGTTTGTGTAAGTGAAAGCACAACGTAAGAGGGAGAGAAAAATACGCGTAGAAATGTCACAGTGACATGAATAGCCGAAATGGTGCTTCGACGACGCTATACAATTATCAAAAAAAAAAAAAAAACAAGAACACAAGATTTCAGACGTCTTTAGGTCAAATGACCAAAAACACTGAACTGATTGTTTAGATTTATTGATGTTATAATTTTTTGTTTTCGAAAATAGTAGTTCGATGAATTTCAGCAACTGAAAACTGTCTGGCATCGAACGATTTTTTCTTGCTATAATTTTGAAACATATTTTTCGCCCTCTCCTTCGTCTTTATTTTCGTTTCTTCTTCTTATTTGGATTCAAAAACTTGTAGATAACAGCGCTTTGCATTATAAATGAAATCGCCAGATTGTGTGTATGGGAAAATTGGGTCAAAACCGATGGATATTATAGATGTTTGTTATAATGTGCACGTAAATTGAGTGTTGCTTTAAATCTTGATAAAAAAAAATCGCAAGAAATTGATTAATTACGGCATGAAATCTGAACATTTATTCATTTCAGTTTTCTTGTCAATTTCGATGAAAATGTATATTCAATGCTGCAGAAAATCAACCAACTTCAACTGAATCCCACGGACAAGTAAACATATTGAAGTGAGCCGAAAAAAATCATAGAGGGCAATTTGAGCGTTAAAACATACGACCACACCACCACCACCACCACCACCGACAATTGACGTTTATTCATTCTGCTGTGTGTCTGAATGAGTTTAAGTCAAATTCGTTTTCAGCCGTTTTTTCTCACTTTTTTTTTATTGGTGATTGTGTAGCGTCTAATATAACATTTTCATACACAATATCGTGAAAAAGCTGAGGCAACAGGAAAGTGGACGCGTACTCCAAATTTTCGGATTTAAAGAAAAATGAGTTTCTTCAATTCACTTCAACACTATGTTACAACCGGTGTAGCTGGTTTGGGACTGAGTCCACGACGTTTTTCGCTGTCACGTCAGGAATCAAGTGAAACACAGCAACCGCCACCACCGTTAACGCAAACGGAACGAAGAGAAAGCAACAATTCTCAACATCATGGTGAGTACAAATTAAGCTTCTTAACTTTAACACATTGCGAATTTATTTTTATTTTGTTAAATTAAAAGTACAGACGAATAAACAGCAGAATCTAATGATTTAAAGTTTTCAACTATTTTAGTTGCATAAATGCGAACATTGTTTTGTTCGGTAAAACTTTCACACAACAAATTTTTTTTTGTTCGTCCTTCGGAGCCGAGAACGATGTGAAAGGAAAGGTTTAGCCGGCGCATAATCGTATTATTTCTCAAGTTCACTTTGTATCTGAGTTAAGTCAAAACTGAATTATTAATTAAAATACAAATGGACGAGAGTACAAATAACAACAACATTATTTTGAGTGTATGAACACGCACATAGCACGCTGATGCCACTGATCATTGGGACAACCATTAGCGATTTTGTTAGCGTCATTACCGTCTTTGCCACCTCTGGTGGTGTCACCGCTTACCGTGTGTCAAGCTATTGCGCGCCGTGCAATATTCTTAAAACACTTTGTTTTAAAGACACTCATGAGATATATTCATTGCTACCGTTTATTGTCTCTTCGTACAAATTAAATATTAAACGCTGTCTACGACAAGCACAAATATGTTAATTGTTCCATTACACTTGTTAAACTGTCTGCTATAATTTCCATAATATGTTTATATTTTGCCCCAATTAGATCTGGGCGTGAGCCTCGAACTCATGTTTTTAGCGAACAAATGTATAGAAGGTTTTTTTACTGATAGAACATTCAATTGAAATAAAACAAACAACGATTTCAATTTAACCAAGCTGAATATTACAAATGGTAATGCCCTAATAATGTTTGTTATAAAAAGACATTTACTATTCACATACATTTCAAGTGTAATTTTACATTGCGGTCATTTCAACTTGATGACATTGCATAGAATGAACCATGCATTTTCGTAGAACAATAAATCAATAGTGATGATAATTTTGTTAACGTTTCATTTGTTTCATATTCCATTTGATATTTTAGGTTTTCCAAAAGTTGTACCAGCGCCAGGTACAATAACACCTCCACAGAGCCAAGGCTCAATTCGACGACAATCACGTGCACTGGAATGTTTGGCGCCACCTCGTAAAGGATCGTTTCGTACGCAGCGCGTCTCACCAGTACATCAAGCATCGACATTAGATCGACCACCTTTGGCATTTTGCAAACGACGTTTATCATGGCCGGAAGTGGAAACACAGTCAACATCTGGGTAAATCAATTTATTTTGTTTTACAAGCACATCCCTATAGGGCCATTATTCGTTGAGCTTAAATGTAAAAAAATGAAAAACGACGAATTTAAGCGCAAACGCTGTTGAATGCAAACAATTCAACAACAACAACACCAGTACATAGGTACTTTCATCATTTCTTCTTCTTGTTGTTGTTGTTGGATGGTCATTAATGTAACCACAAATTGTTACAATCGCTTGACACTTTTATGTTCTCCAATTTATGTCGAGTAAAGTCTTTATATTTCCAAAATGTGTATTTTATTCTCATTTGGTTGCCGCTTCATGGTTGCCGTCCTTTTCTCTGCCATTTCATAGGCATTGCAAAATGCACAGCAAAACTATTTTGCCCTGCGAACAAATTTTGTCGTGTGCAAAGGACGGTGCATGCGAGCTGTTACGTATTATATGTGGCAATTACGTATATGTCGCTAAGGAAGCAAATCAGTCAAAGTGTAAAGAGCATACATATATTCGTACAATTGAAAATAAAATGTTATTTCACAGAATATAAACACTGAGTATATAGTTGACTTGATCAACCTGAAATAATACGATTTTAAATAAGTGAGAGACAGAGACACAATCAAAGAGCATCATACAAGGCATTTTCAGTCGCTGTCCATGTCGAAAAACATACGGTGGTGGAAATAATGTGATAGGATGAAGAACGAATACGAGAGCTTACAATTAGCTCTGTGAATTTGTTCAGCCCAAGTCCAACTGTGAAATAAAAAACGAGAGCGAGCCTTGGTTTCATTAATAACAATGAAAATAATGAAGATAAAACAAAATAGTAGAACTGGAACTCGAATGAAGAAAATAGAAATGCCAACAATGAAACACTATAGCAACTTCCTTCTATTTGTGCTTTTGTGCTTTTTCCTCTTCTCATTTTACCATACAATCACACTATTTGCTTTAAAATTACATAAGCTCAACGGAAAGTGGCACATAACTTGCAACAAGAGTGAATTTAAAAAATAAAAAAACAACAACAACATAGTACAAAAGCCACAACAAGACATAAAGAATGCAAACACTCCAAAATACAGAGAAAAAAATGTCGAGAGAGAGAAAAAAACGGAGACAAGAGTGAGAAAGTAGGAAAAACAGAATCATGAACGGACATGTACAAAAGAAATTTTACGAATATTTAAATGCTGTCGGAGAACGACTTGCTCATCCTTGTGATTATAATAAATGAAACGAAGCAAAAGCAAAACGTGGAAAATGTTGTAGATTGTTGATAATCTCTAAGACATGACGAGGAGCACGGAATCAATAATGTGATGCCAAGCATGAAAATAAATCACAATTCACAATCAATTCGAATATTTATTTATCTCAAATCAATACATTTTTTTCGCGTGGACTCTATTTCCTGGCATTGTTATTCTTTCTGTTATTTCTCTCTGTTTTTGTACAATTTATATCATTATTTTGTTCGCCTAACAACTGCTTCTATTTGATTTGTTTCCATCTCAGATAACGTATCTAAACCATTTTTATTCCAAAAAAAAAACTATGAACGCAACACAAAAGAATGGCGATCAATATATCGTAATATTTTATAATTGGTAAATTGAGTTATCTTTTTTAACGCCAACAATGTGACAGTTATTACTTCCATTGAAGCTTCAACTGTCATTAGCCGAATGAAACAAATTAAAGTGGTAATGATTGATAAAAGCACCGAACATAAAAATATGTCGCGCTTCCCACACAAGTCATGACATTACAAAGATAATTATTATTATTTACCGTAATGAAAGAAAGAAAAATGGAATTATATCATTGCATACATGGAAATCGAAAGTGACAACATATTTACAAATGTTTTTCACTCATTCCAATTGTAACTGTCATTGGCGTAAGCCGTTGGTGGTAACAATTTACTAAGCGTGTTTTAAACAAATGAACCAAATTATTTGGCGCGTAAAAGGATGATAAATTAACAAAATGCTCATTTCTATGAGAAACGAATTTATCTTCATGAAATGCGTGCGGTAGGAACGTATGTGTGTGAAATAAACATATCGATTCATAAATCATACAAAATTGTAGGATGGGTGTGTTAAGACATTCAAATATTTATGAATAAAAATGCGTATTTCATTTTCAAAGAGGCTGAATTTGTGTCAGTTCATTTTTTTAGCTTTATTTTACCCGTTGTCATACGTGGTTGATTTTATGCTGTCTCCATTTTCAAACAACAACAAAACCACACGATAACATGCTTAGCTTGGTTGTGAAAATTTTGAACGCGTTGTGTTTGATTTCAATTTAGTTCTCCATCATTGCGTGCTCAAAATTGGTTTTCCCAATATAGTTAGAATGACTTTTTAGCCCCTAAAGTAATTGCCATGTGCAATGGAAATTAATGTTTGGTCGCACTCACTGATATTCGACTTTTTTTTCTGCCTCACACCACTTGCACACACCTTTTGGCGTTAGCTTGACACTCATGGATTGTAGAGAGAGAGAGAGAGAGAGAGAGAGAGAGAGAGAGAGAATGTGTGTGTATGAGTGTGTATATGCGCGCACCGACAGGATCCAACAACATAAATTATGACCACATGCTCAAAACACTTGGAACTTCACAAAGTTGAGTTCACTTGATGTCTCCTCTCTTTTTTCCACTGTCCCCATCACCATTATCATTCCAATTTATACACGTCCATTCGCACTTATTCTCACTTGTTCAAAACCAGATGAAATGCTCACGCTGAGCAACTTTGCAACCATATTTTCGTACATCGTATATTCGATATCAATTACAATCAACTTTTTCTATTAAAGCGGCCCAAAACAATGGACGTTCGAAAAATAAAAGTTTAAACCTTACCTTTTATCAACTTTGTTGGATGTATGTATTTTCAATTATGAAATGCGTCATTTCGATTAAAAATTATGTTGATGCTTTGTTGTATATGTTGTTGTTATTGTTTATTATTTATTATCGAAAATGTCTAGTATTCAGGAAACGGATGGTGGATACTTTGAAGCCTTTACAGCGCTAGCATGGAAACGAGACAATCGTCGTATGTCAGCAGTGCGTACAGCTGAAACTCGAGCCGAAATGATACCAGAGAAAGAGCACGATCAACAAGCCAACGAAGAAATCTCTGATACGCCAGATGAAAAAGAACAATTATATATTGAAATATTGCAAACGATTGTGCATTCTGTTGGTGCACCAGCACCAGGCAGTCAGGTGTGTATTTCAATCCCTTATTGTTGCATATAAAAAACTGGCAATCCAAGTATTGTTTTTTTTTTTTTTGTTGTGTATCTCATCTGCCAAGGATTAAATCGCATTTATTCCATCACATTGCAATGCAATATGATTTTTTAAGCTTTAAATGGAACAAATAAGGACATAAATATGTACAAGCACATACAGATTATGTGGCTTAAGAATGAAAGTGGGGCTTTTAAATGACAGCTCCAAAAGTGTACTGAACATACCGAACAAAATAATCAAAGTAAAAGCATTGTCTGTGTGCCAAAGTTTTTATTACAAATCTGTCAATTTCTCTTAAACTATTGTTGTACATCATCACCATAAAAACCATCATTATGTCGGGTCGTTACGGCACATTAATTACCACACACAGATATTCGATGAAAGAATGATTTCTTTTATAATTGGTTGAATTTAATGCATATTTCATTTCTTATAACAGTTTCACCACTACAAAGATGATATGTTTCTGCAAGCGCAACGTGCATTTGGTGTTTCACCTGAACGTCACTATCGATTGTTGCATACGGCCGCCGAGGAAAAACCAAGAATCGTCGTATTGAATGTGCTTGTGCAAGCAGCCGACAACCTAGAAGCGAAAGATGCAAATGGTAAGCTGTTTTAAATCAAATCGAATATAAACGTTCTCTCTTTCATTAGCTATTCAATGAATTTATGAAAATGAATGGTGTATGCCAATGAAAAAAAGGCGCATCGATACTAATAATTCCCAAAGAAAATTACTTTTGTAATCAAATTTAAATCACGCAAAGTGCAATTTTGCATACAATATTCAATCAAGTTCGGATAACATATGGCACGTATAACGTAAACGCTTCGTATCTTTGTGTGTTATTGTTGTTTATACATTTTCTACACAGAAAAGCAATCAATGTCAATGTTTCCATTACCCGATGATAGATAACAAAACGCGATAGTTCGATAAATTAATGATTTTAATGACGAGTTAATTCGGTTCGGTAATTTACCGATAACCATTTAAAATACGTCTCTCTCTTGTTTTATTTCAATGTTAATTGTATAATGTTGGCTTGCATTTTTTCTTCCTGTCGCGTTCAATCAATGGATAAAGTGTGAATGCGCGCTTCAATGCACTTAAACAAATAGTTAATATTTTTGTGTGTACGACGTATGAGTACGTGTACGTGTACGATATCTGCACGTTGTACATTTTGTATATGTGATGTAATTCATTGTGATATGCGAGTGAACGCGGGTGTATTTTTTATTCGCTTTATGTCTCGTTTCGTCCTTTTTGTATAAGTGTTTTTTTGCGGATGTTCATGTGTGTCAAAGCGTGTGCTCTACATACGAGACATATTCTTTGATCACATTGATGATGGTTCATGACCCACATTTTCCATGTCTCTTTTTGCCACATTGAAAGCACACCGAGTAAACGCGCGCGCGGTCGACAATGCACAGTTTCAGAGAATTAGTAATTTCACGTTAAATTTTAAATCTAACAAAAAGTCCCTCGCTCGTTTTTCTCTATTATTTTATTCGCGAATGAATGAATTGTCAAAAAGAAAACTTAAATTATATTCATCAAGGGCACGAATTGTTAAAAGCGAGACGAATGACTTTGAACTAACTCAATTTCAAACAGGCAAGCTTTCTCGGGTCTTTTTTATTCTTCATTTTTTTTTTTGTTCATCTTATCTTTTAGCGCAAAAAGAAGCGTACGAAAAACAAAACAACCGAACAAACATGACGCTGTTGTGCATGTATTAATTTTCTGATTCCTCTAGATCTTTTGCATTTTACTTAACAATTTTTATTTTGGCCACGTTTACATTAAAATTGTCTGATTCGTTCACATTGCTTCGTTTTTGGTATTTACAGGATTTAGTGATCCATATTGTATGCTTGGAATTCAGCCAGGCGGAACGCCAATTTCGCCTTTGCCACCACCAATGACACCCCGAACGTTGAGCGATGTAGGCTTCGACAATAATCTAGATTCGCCACACCAGAGCGATAAATTACGCAAACACCATAGTTTCCGGTTGAGTTTTAAGCGAAAAGATGGACGACGCGAACACCGAGATTCACTCAATGGTCCAGTACCTGCGAAATTTATTCGTGCTACATCCATTAAATCGCATACATTATCACCGAAATGGCATGAAAAATTCAAGTTGTACGTATTTCATGCACACAATTTTTTATTTTTTTTTTGTCCCTTGAAAAAGCAACAAATGTAAATCTCTGTATTAACGTACACTTTCACTTCACGCTATGCACATTGGCACAGTGTACACCAAAGTAAAATGCAACTTTTATTTTATGCACACATTCAAAAAGCGAAGAGCGTGAGAGTTGTAAAGTTTCATTCACTTCAGATGGTTGTATTTGATGTGATTGTGGATCGTTGCTTGCCATTTATTATCTTGATTTTGTATTTATTATTGCAGTGACATAGACGACATAAATACGGATATATTCCACTTGGATATTTGGGATCATGATGATGAAAGCTGTGTGTTAGATGCTGTATCGCGTTTAAACGAAGTACGAACGGTTCGTGGTTTAGGTAGGTATTTTAAGCAAGTGTGTCAGTCGGCCAGACAAGGAACGCAAGACGATTTTTTGGGTTGTGTGAACATTCCACTTTCGGTGAGTTTAATGCGATTCAGTTGAATTCTATAAAGTTTCACAAATTATAAAATTGTGTGCAATATATGTTATGCATGTAACATCATTTTAATGATGATATATCATCATTAATATGCATGGTGGGTCCAATACCGAATTTGAATCTTATTTTGGTATAATGTTTAGGAAATTCCATCAACTGGAATTGATTCGTGGTTTAAATTGGAAGCGAGAAGCCATCGAAGTATAGTGCAAGGGCGAATTAAACTAAAACTTTGGCTAACAGCACGTGAAGATCGTGGCCAATGCGAAGAGGATGAAGTTTCCACTGATCATGATATATGGAAATTGCAGCGTTTGCATAAGATTATGATGTCACATGAAATTCTAACGCACGAACCATCATGGACATGGAGTGGTGATCTATCGGGTCCATCATTAACGATTTTACATCAAATGGCCGTTCAATGTGATTTATCCGATTTACAATGTGCGATAGCTAAATTCATTGCCGTCGCTCAATTGAATCGCACAACGCCAATCGATCCCAAATTTATTCATCGTTTATTGCTCGATATAGATCATTACTGGAATCAACCGAATCAAAATAAATTGTCACGTGAGGCTGAACAATGGTTGGCAGAAGCATTTAACATTTTCATTGACAAATCGTTGTCTCAAATTCGGGCGCATCGTGATATATTTCCGGCTTTACATCCACCGTCATTGATACGTTTAGAATTTTTGCTAAAATGCTTGGGCATATTTAGCAAATTTCAGGCATACAAACAAGTGTGTCCATTTAGCAAAGGCGTTCGCGGTGAAGTTGTTGGCGCTCTTCGCAAGGGTTCCATTCAATGGGCACAATTTTTTCTACGCGAATCTCAACGGCTTTACAGCTCGTTGATTTACTTCGTAACCACAATAATCGCAAACATTCAGCTAGGCTTAATCTATTATCAATCATTATTTGAAGCGTAAGTGTTGAATACATAATATATCTTTTTTTTTTATATTTCAACATTTTTTATTCGCCTTTCTATTTCTTCCCTTGCTCTCTGGCCACAACAGAACTATTGGTGTTCAGTATTTTAGCATTGTGTATAAGCAATTCGATGTTATCATAGCCGAGGAGGTATCGTCACGTATGGAATCTGGTCAAGTGCTCGGGTCAACATTGAGTCAATGTACGGTGCTCGAAGGCGATAAAGAACCGGCCGATACACGTCCGTTTGAATTGTATTTAGTGTTACAAGAATTTGATTTGTTAAAAAATCATTTGGCGGTAATGCCCCACCCAACTGAAAAACCTTTGGCACTTCAAAACTATCATAATTGGTTTGTACCGACTGTACAACGATGGATAATGGTTGGCAAAGCAAAGGCATTGAATCGTGTTCGAGCTGCAATTTCATTAGATAAAATATCAGAAGGTGATAGAATTGTTCGTCATACCACGTCATCAGTTGATGTTGCCGACATTTTATATCAAATGCGTGAATTTTGGAAGCTCCTCAATTGGCCGGATGTTAATTCGGCACAAGCATTTGAATCACAAATAACGGACGCAGTGTGCTCGTGTGTGATTCATTATGCTGACTTGATACATCAGCAGCTCGCCGACACTGGCTACTATGAACATCAAGGACCGTTTCGTACATCGGACGATATGTGTGTTACCGTCAATAATTTGGAGCATGTACGACGTGCACTATCCGAATATCAAACGGACAAATCCGAAATGTCCGGTCAACAGCCACCCGATCAATCTGATATTTTGCTTGAGTCAACTTTGGCACAATTAGAAAATCGCGTTGAGCGTGTTCTCAGTAAATTGGCACCATCGATGCAAGTTCCCTTACAAAAAGCTGTATTCCATTTGGCATGGTCACCCGAATCGCTACCAACGAATCAGGCAATCGTACCGCTGCTTGAATATTTGGATGTACATTTATCTGCATTGAATTCGGCATTACTCATGAAAAATTTCAATCGTGCTCTCACCCTAATTTGGAATACCGTTCTAAATGAACTCTCACGACAAATGGATACGGGCGGTGAAGGTGAAAAAACAAAAAACTTTCACGATCGATTGTATGAAGCATTGCAATTGCTTGTCGACTTTTTCAATGCTGAAGGATTGGGTTTGCCGCTCGAAGCATTGCACAATGATACATACTGGAGAGTGGATCAACGTCTTCAATATCATAAAAAAGACACCGACAAATTAATCGATATATTTTATTTACAACGCTTGCAAGAGCAACTAATGGTCGCATCGCCCGGACCATATGGAGTTTTGGCTGTTCGTGCATATTTCAATCATGATTCATTGTGTGTAGAAGTGCTGAGTGCCAGAGACATCATACCATTGGATCCGAATGGTTTCAGCGATCCATTTGTGATTGTTGAATTACTTCCAAGACGAATATTCCAGTACTGTGCTGAACAACAAACAAATGTACACAAGGTAATTGCTTGATAAGTTGCTCAATTCGATTCATCATCAATTGATTTTGGTTTTTTTTACAAATAGAAAACTCTCAATCCAAACTTTGACGAATGTTTCGAGTTTTCGGTAACACTTGAACAATGTTTGGCTGAAGGTGCAATGATCGCATTTACGGTTATGGATCATGATGTATTAACCGCAAATGATTTTGCTGGCGAAGCGTTTTTGGCATTAGGTAATATTCCTGGTGTGGCTGATTACAGTACAAGCATAGACAATTTTCACGGACTAAAGCAGGTGGATTTGCCATTAATGCAACAAAACGATAAAAGTAAGATTTATTCATGTGATTGATTAAGTGCACAAAAAGAATAACTAATCGATTCAATTTCGCTTCATTTTCCGTTTATTTTTTGAATGACAGATCATCCGATTCTACAAATTTTAGAGTCACGTGCAAGCGACAAACAAGCCATGGATTTTGTGCGTAAGCAAAAAGCTCGACTCGCATCTTAATCTCATTAATCATACAAAACATTTGATAAACATTACGAATCCATATGGAAATAATGAAACAAACAGACAAAAAAATGAAAATCCCTCTCAGAAATTAAGTAAATGCACAACTTTTGTAATTCAACGATTCATTAAATGCACTCTAGTTTTATAGCCATTTTGTCGCAATATTAAATTTCGGCTTCGGCTAAAATACATACACACATCACACATATACAAATAGAAAACCACTCAATATGTCATTTGCCCAAATAAATGTATGCGCAAAAAATGATGAAATGATTGGAACGCGAAAATCATCAGAAATTAATAATGACAAAATGATTGAACACTGACTAGATAAAATTTTAATTTATTTTGACCCTTGTGCACGCGCGTTCGCATCAACTAAATAATACTTAATAGGAGAAGAAATGAAAAAAAAATAACAAACACAGAAAGAAGAGAAAACCAAAGGGGAGATGGAAAAAAGTTTGAGAGTTTGGGAGCTCAAAAAAAAATGAATAAGTGTGTATCCATAATATTTTGGAAGCGTATACATGGCCTGTCAATTGATTAAAGATGAACAGAATAATAAAACAAATGAATGGAACTCTGTTACGCAATAGCAAAGAAAAAGATTTGAAAAAAAAAAAACCAGTCGATACTCAATTGGATAATATTCTATGTCAATCAGCCAAACGACATCGAACGAAAAGTGAAACGTTCAAAAATGAATTTCGATGAATAAAAACAATTGAAGCACAGTTTCTCTCGAATATTCGATTCTCGGCCGAATCAATGTTGATATGCGATCTTCTCTTTAACTAGCAACTACTTGGTTGAACAGAGTGTGCTTACGCAAGTGTACCACAGTTAGAAACAGAATAACAATCCAAAATGAAAAATAAACATACACATCACTGTGAGAGTATAAAAATAATATTACCAAAAAATATGTTGTTTGCAATGAATAGAAGTGTGTGCTATTTAACAAAACAAAAAGGGGTCATGAAAAAGAAATGGCATTACATATAACCGACGAGACATATTTTACAAGGAATTATCACACACAATCGTATTTTATATATGGTGTCGATTCAAATTCAAGCTTTGTGAGAACTTATTGACGATGAGATTGAAAAATAGGACACTATACACATAGTATATATATACAAGTTGATTTTATGTACAATCAATTTATTTTTGGAAATGTATAACACTACCAAATTCCAATATGCATACGATATAATAATAATATATGATGAAACAGATTCCTGAGAATTCTTCAAATATTGTCTGTGTGTTTGTGTAAAATCGAGGACAAAATATTTAAATCGAACAATCATACAGTCCTAAATATTCGTTCAATAGAATTATTGTGCCAACACTAACAATTATGGATGCTTATTAGTTTCGTTTTATTTCTTAATTGTTTTCGTCGCATATTTATTCATTAATCGAAATTGGAACTGAGACAAATTTAGGCTGGCATTTTTTTTTGAGCCGATTGAATCTTTCTATGAAACTGAATACCGAATATCTTTTTTTTGAAAGAAATTGTTCGGAAAAAATTGATACAACTTAGAAGAGTAATCCAAATTTTTGTATTTTTTATGTGTTTGGCATTCCTTTCTTTTTAAGATAGTTTTTATTTCGTTTTGACCATTCGATTTGTCGCGAAAATTCAGCATATCCAAAAGTCTTACTTTCTTCAGAAAATTGTGCGAAAATTGAAAGCGAACTTCATTTTAATTTACATTTTCTCATTTGATTTGAATTAAACGTTCTGCATCCAAAAGCACACACACAGATACGTGAGCATGAAAGAATACATTTCAATTATTCAATTCAATTCAGGAACTTGAATCAATCTTTCCCTTCGAAATGCCCACCTCAAACGAAATAAAAAAAAGAACAACTCTCGTTTTTTTATTATTTTTAAAAAGCACGACGAGCTTAAATCTAACCGTTCCAAAACTATCTAAAGACCAACAAGTTAAACCAATCAAAGATCTTGATCCAATCAAAATATCTACCGTTTTTTTTTCACTCAATGTTTTCAGAAATCAAACCAAATAAAGAGTATTTTTCGAAATATTATTTGAACACAGCAATGACTGATTCACATTTAAATTCACCGATAATTTTTCCAACGACTAATTTTATCCTATAAATAGCAGAATAGATATAGAATGAAATAAAGAATATATTATGCATATGAGCGTCAAAAGCTTAAAATGATTACGTGTCAAAACATATTTACCATTTAAAGTAACAAACTACAAACAATTATAGTGTATAGTGTATAGTGACATACGGCTTTCGGTGTTGAAATTGAAGCTCCCTCAGCTTATAGATATTATATAACATAATCTCCCATCAAAAGCCTTGTCCATTCTCTATCAATCAACGCCCACTATATTTTAACAATTTCATTCTTCGAATATTTTTTCTTCCTATATACAAATTTTACGTACAACACACATACACATAAATATTTTTATACAAAACAAAGAAGACACACAATACAAATCGAAATCAATGAAATATGGAACACACTCTATAACTTGATCTAAATGAAACAAAAACAACAACAAAAATGGAACACTTACCAAAGACATAATTTTGGACATATTTTTTTGCAAAATAAAAAAAAAAACTTATAAAAACAACAAGTGACAATTTAAATATTTATACTAAATTTTATACGTTTTAAAGCGCAATACATTTTTTCACTTCTTTTTACAAGCTATCAAGCTAAAGTAACACCATCAATGTAACACAAAACAAAAGTTCTACATACATATATTCGATTCAAATCAAAATTAGACAAAGAAAAGTGAATTATTTTGATTCCGATGTTTACCTATCCACATCTCTATTATTTTTTCACTCTTTTATGGCCTAATATAAACGAGTGCAATGTATTAGATGGAGAAGATTATGCATCTTCCTTTTTTTAATTTTTAGCCAATCAATCGCACACATTCCATCAAAATACACAGTAAGTATACTATTAGATATATTGCAAATATTCTCGCAGATGCCTTCGAATCTATTTCCAATAATTTTCTACGCCCCTGGAGCACTCTAAGAAGTGCACGATACCCTAATTTCTATTCCATTTCCAAAAAAAAAATCATTCAAATAATTTTTTGTCTAAAATACCTAATTTAAAAAAAAAAAGATATATTTACGGAACATTCATTCTTTGACGAATCAAAATTTGAAAAGTCCGAAAAGAAAAATCATATAAAATATATGAATCAATTTGATTATAAAAAAATAAATAAATAAATTAAGTCCCATGAAGCACTTATTATTAGTAAAACTAAACGTTGGTTGTAATGAAAATATCTCAGTCACATATAACATTCTATTATGGCATTTACAAGTGTGACGTCCAAAGAAATTAAAAAAAATCATATTGAGTATATATCTAGCTGTGAATATTTAAACCATAATTTATTTTGAGAAAACAAAAGAAAATCAGAATTTACAGCAAAAACCGCAAACACATATGACTTTGAAATAATAAGAAATTTAAGACAGCCTCTCCTCCTAGAAGCAAGAACACACACAAAAAATCATTGTTCAAAGCCAACAAATGAACAAACAAAAAAAAAAATGAATCAAGATTTAATATGAATTGATACACTAAACCAGACAATATATTTAGCTGCCGTCATCTGGATATTTCAGCTCATCTGGATGCCGTCAGCAGATGATGCGAAGTGAAAACAATAGAAGTGATTGTTATAGTAATACCAGTATATAACAAGCTTATATACCTATAACAATCACTTCTATTGTTTTCACTTCATATCATCTGCTGACGATATCCAGATGAGCTGTAATATCCAGCTGATGACGACAGCTAAATATATTGTCTGCACTAAACCATCCATAATCCATAATATATGTGTATATGTACATTCTTAAACTGCTTATTGCTTGTATGATGTGTTTTTTTTTTGTTTTTTTTTTTTTGTTTTTTTTAAGCATCAACTCTTAAAAATTAAGAACTGTTTACACATTTAGAACAAGAGAGAAAACGAAAGAGGTAAATTCAAAACTATTACAAATGGATAAACAGATGATAAGGAAATGATGTTCAAATCATATGAGTGCGCAAGAAAGAAAAAAAAAAAAACATTTCCATTTCAAAGTACAAACAGTGAATTATTTGTAAATAAAAACTAAAAACAAAGAGAATTTATTTGTTGGAAGACGCAAAATCGTGTTAACCATACTAAAACAATATACATTTAATTTAATGAAGAAGTTGAAATTTTATTGAAATAAATATTATATATACACACACATACCCAAACCTAAATGAACATGAAATGGATAATATTACTCTTATACACACATCTATCATTTCTCACAATATGTGTCCTAAATTGCCGAAAAAAAAACAACAACTTATCAATTTGATTAAAGAAAAAGTAAAAATCATACATTATTCACGATCAAAACAGACGCAATGGCAGAAAAAAACCTCTTCAAAAAATAATTTTTGTTTGATGCTATTGCTTTATTGCCATTGCCATTCTGTTCATTTGAAACTCATGAATTTATTTCATTTATTTGATATACATACACTTTTAATAAATGAACGCGATACAGTTTATTAACAAAGATAATCTATATATTGTTTTATATATGCCATGTTAATTTTGAACACAAACGTCTTCAAAACCCAATACGTAATAATTTAATTTGATTCATATTGCGAAACAAATTTAAAATGATTCTATTCAATATGCATTTGCTGCTGATAATGTTTATAATCAGCTAGTGTTTTTTTGTCGATGAATGGAACAAAGAATATATTGAAATTATTTGCACAAAGAGGAATTATTGATTCTCAAACAATAACCAATTTTTGTTTCATTTTTTTCCCTTCAATTCATTGCGAAATTGTATTTGATTTTAACTGAAATATGATTTTGGCTCTATTTAAAAAGTCTTTGAAAATGATGATGATAATCTAGATAAATCGATGCAAAACTAATTAAAATTCTATCAAGAAAAGACATCCTGTAATTTGCGTGCTTATTTTAAGAAATCTAAAATGTAATGAATATTGAACACACACCCACACCCGAAATAAATACGATTATAAAATAATACTGATAATTGACTTCATTTTATTTCGAATTATTTAATTCATTGTATACAACATTGGAAAAATCGTTCAAATGGCTTTTATTTGTTTCTGTTTAGGTTTGAATCGTTGTTTCATCCATCATTTAATTATCCTTTAATGTTTAAACTGAGTGGAGATGGGCCCTTGCTTTGTTGCTGTTGAGCTTGAGCTGCTTGTAATTGTTGCATGTACATTTGAGTGTAATAGCAATCGTTCGGGCATTGACCTGGGGCACCTGGTGAGCCGGGCGTTCCATTTCTACCGTCTTGACCGCGGTCGCCTATTTAATTTTATCAATTCAAAAGTATATGATCCGTAAAAAAATGGAAATTTACAAATTTGGTCAATGTCTACTTGCCTGGTCGTCCGGGCGGTCCTGAAAATTCCGAATAAAAATGGTTATTTTCAATTTCTTGTATGAAAAAGCGTTTTTTTTTTTAATTACCTGCTATACCTTCTATTCCAGGTAGACCCTAAAATGTAATAAAATACGGTTCGAATAATAAAATTCAAATGATTCTTCTCATAAATATTGTCAAGTGCCAAAAGTAAATATTAATAAAGAATGAACTTACTTGAATTCCAGGTGAACCATGTCTACCATCTTGACCTCTGGCACCTCTATCGCCTATTGTACATTAGAATGTTTTTATGTCGTACATCTCAATATTCTGAGCCATTTACGCATAGAATAACAAACCTTTTTCACCCTGTAAAAATATTAATTTGAATATATTAACGTTCAAAGCAAAATCGAGTTTTTTTTGTTATTTTCTTGTTTGAACATTGACTTCTTACCTGCAAACCAGGATAACCGTCGTCTCCACGATCGCCTACACAACAACAAAAACAAAATGTTCAAAAGTTGAATACTTCAATTGAAAGTAATTTATACGGATTCTCTTTCATATGTTAATGTGAATTTTATCGGTTAGCACAATTTAAATTTAAACATTTATTCACCTTTTGGCCCTGGTCGTGCTCTACCATTGCCTGGTCGTCCTGGCGGTCCTGAATTGTACATTTTCAAATTGAAATTTCTTTGTCAATTTATTCATATATATATTTTTAAATTAATTTAAACTAACCTGGTGGTCCAATTGGTCCAATTAATTGCGGTTTCAATGCATCAAGTTGTTCTATATGAAAGAAAACAAAAGCAATTTGCGTTGAAAATGAAATTCAGTGAAAATATGATAATTCATTCTTGCCCCGTCACCTTTTAACACATTTCCACAGATTTCTCGAATTTGAAGTTCACCGAACTGATGCTCTCCACCCTCTGTACGAGTTACTATTAAACCAGGTGATCCGGGTTCACCCTTTTGACCGATAATCGACTCTCCCTACATTCAATATAATTATATAATGGTGTACAATCATTGGTTTTTATCGGTATAGGAAATTTTAATCCGATTGACAATAGATTTTAACACAAGTGCTAGAAAATATGATTGATTTACCGGAAATCCTCTTTCACCACGTTCACCTTTTTCACCGACAATGCTACGGCCATCAAATCCCTTAAATGGAATGAATAAAAAATGAATAAATCGATTTTTTTTTGTTTGGCATAATAATGCATTTAAATAAAATTACATCGCGTCCTGGTGGTCCGGCTGGACATTGAATCGGACACTCTTGCTGAATAATTGGCGCAATCGTTGGTTGTGGATAATTTGGCAATACAAGCGGTGAATCTGGTTTTATTGACTCTTGATATTGCTGATGTGAATAAATTATTTATTTGAACATTTGTACAAACATACACGATTTACATTTCAACTATACTCACTGGCAATTCCTCACAGCTTGGTACAACTGGACGTGTTGATTCGCAGCCGAGCACCATCCATTGCAAATCAATCTGTGCTGTATTCTAAACATTTGTTTAAAAAGAATCAGTTTGAAATAGAAGTAAAAAATCAGAGAAGAAAAAAAATATGCGTACCACATATTGATTTGTTTCGTCGACATAGCGTGCAATGTGAGAATAACCATTGGTAACATCAAATTTTGGACGTGGCAACAATGGCTCTTCGTATGCACCACGAACTCCAAATACTTCTTGACAATCAATCCACAGTCTAACTTTGTCCTTTAAAACGCTTACCAACAACTTATGCCAATTTGTATCGAACAAATTTGAATGCTGGAAAAATACACGCTGTACATTACCGCCAACAGCTGGTAAACCAATTCCGATTGAATGCTGAACCGTGTCTAATGTAATGCTAATTTGTGTAACGCCTTGTGAATCGGTCACATGAAACAGATAGAAAGGTTGCAGCGGTTGTACAAGTGCACGGAATGTCGATTCAAACCAAAAATGATATGGAATTCCAATTGGAAATGCTTGAAATGCGTTAACGGTTAAATTTGATTCTTCGTGCAATCGATATGCTTGTTGTGACGAAATTGAACCAACCGTCGTCTCATACTTTTCCACCGATTCACTCAAATGAAATTCACGAATCAAATCAATCGTTGGTAAAACACCATTGTCACGATTGAATGCACATTTCGGGCACTGGGAATTGACTATGCTCGCCAAACACAAAAAACTCACTGTCAGCAATCTATATATCCAATCAATGTGATAATTTTAAAACAAAAATGTGAAATTATTCGCAATTTTACGAAGAAAAAAATTTGTGAAATAAACTAAGTATTAAATTCACCTAAGTATCATATTTTTCAGTGGTATGTCTTTGGAATAAAATGAAACAATGAAACTTCTCTTCCGATCACAGCAATGAATCTATCGAAACTGTAAGCAGAAACTGAATATTCCTTTGGTTTTAACATGTTTTCAAAGGCATTCCAATTTTGAATTATTTCAATTGAACCAACAGACGCATAAAACATTTTAATTAATCAATGTGTTGACATTAATAAGCCAAAAATTCAAACCATACTCTACACATCAATGCGATCAATTGAGCATTCAATTCGATTTATTGTGTTTGTGTCTCACACTTAATGTGAGTTTTTCATTCAATTTGACAATAAAAAAAATCTGCTCATTTGAACAATAATTTTTGTGTGCGGCGACATAATAAGAATAATATCGAAAGAAGACCTAAATGCATTGTCATATATTTCTTCACTTTTTAATTTAAGCATATGGATCGATTTCTTCTAATTTACTCCTTGTGATAATTGAGCGAAATTAACTGGACCACTTGGCATTCTTCGAGTATTGCTTTTGGGATAGTGATAGAAAAAATTAAATAGATCATTTTACTACCAACGAATTATTTCTTGTGCAATCATTAGATAAAAAAATATTACTGACGAATACTACACTTTGATCAATGATTTATTTTAGAATTTTTCGAATCGTCGCAGTAAAAAGAATTCTGCTACTTTAATGGTCCAAAGTTTGATTCAATATTGATTTTGTCAACGGAATGAATATGAATTTTTTTGTTCACTGTAATCAATTGAAGTGCCAAAAACATTAATTATCAGCGTCACATCCAAGCTGAATAATATTATTATATAATAACGTGCAAAATTTCGCATTTGAAGAAAAAATGTGGAAAAAAAAATCATCTTCGTATCGTAATGGCAATACAAAGGCAATACAAAGGCAATAAAATAAATCCCGTCAATTTTACCATTATCACGTACAAAAACCAAATTTTGAATTTTTGCGCGCTCTACATGTGAATTACGCGTCATGTGACAAAGTGTGTTGTAAGCGCCTCTACATCAATATTACGACATATGAAACTGTCTGAAAAACAATATGGCTGCCGTGTTTTCAATTTCAAGATCAGACCAAATATATTTTTTAATGCACTTCATCGTCTGTTTATGTTTTCATTTTTGATTTCGCAATTGAATTTTTTCTAACATTTCGAATTTCGGCACATTTATAATTTAAGGTGAGAAAGCAAATGTGTTGGTGCGTTTTGATGGTCATAGACTACAGAAACGTGTAAATAAAAATATATACCTAGAGAAAATAGAGAAAACATATACGAAGTTGACATGAGCATGTTAAAAACAAAAATTTGTTGAATCAGGTTAGTGAAAATTTCCTTTGTTATTATTGTGTCGCGAATTGACGTCACACATAATATTCGTCTTTTCCTTATTCAAGTCATGTATCCATGACAACAAAATTTATTTTTCTTCCTTCGCTGTAATTTTTCACAGAGTATTCGATTTGTGTCGATTAAAAATTAAATTAAAAAAAAAACCAAATTTATCATTTTTTTTATCGTAGAAAATAAATCGGTGATTTGTGTACACGCCAACGGAATACGAAGAATTAACAATTGAAAAATCAGCATTGAACACAGTCAAAATGTCGTCTGACGTCGATGATGATCAAGTTCTTCCGGATTCATTACAAAAACTGGAAATTGTTCCCGATTATTCTCATTCACAGTCAGCCTGCAAAGCAAACAACGAACACAACAATCAGAATCCCTTCTTTTCGCAATTGTCTACAGCAAACGATATTGACGAACGGGTAAGCAATCGTTTATATTACAATTGAAAAAAAAAAACATTAAACTTTTAATATTATTTTTACACACAGATAACCAAAGATCTATTTGGGCCAACATGTAGCAATTGTAAAAGCATAGATAGTAGTAAATCGTGTGGTAACAAGAGTTGGCGACATCGTGGCAGTAATGTAAGTCAGTGTATCGAGCATAATATAAACAAGCAGATTCATTTCAAACATCGTGATAAGGAGAAATCACAAGTTTTATCCGAGAAAAAATTAACGATTCTACGTGAACCGATTCTAAAATCGATTGGCCGTTCTATATATCACAATGGTACTCAGAGTAAATCGTGTTGCGACTCAAAACCGGCCACTGAACAAAAACAATCGAAAACCAATGTAATGGAAAATGTACGAAATACATTGTGGTTCGGTCCAAAATCATGTGATCAAGGTGCAAATGTGGAGCTCAAAGCAAATTGTGCTATTACCAAATCAAATCGAACTGAATTAAGCACAACTAAATTGGATGAATGTCAGCAGGTGTCTGACACAACCGATACAAACAATGTGATGATGCATAGAATACAGAATTGGCAATTGAATGATAATTCAAACGTCATTGATTTTAAGTCATTGGTCAACGAATGCGATAATTTGTCGTTGTCCACACCGGAACCAGCCATCAATTCAATTATCGAACTGCACAAAACAAAAAACTTTCAAGTACTGCAAGCAAATCAGATTGAAAATGATGCAGCCACTGCAGCCGCCTCGGTTGTTGCTTCATTAACGAATGAAACAACAAACGACAGCACAAATTCATCGAACAATCGAATGATTGTCGGCGCTGGCATTAGTGCAATGAACAACAGTATGAGCAGCAACAGCAGTAATTCATCGTCGTGTTCGCAACAAGCGCGAATGAACTCAAGTAACTGTGATGTCACAATTGACGAATTGGCGAGCTACATCGAATTTCAATTGCATCTCCCCAAGCCCATGTCCACAAATGTTTACGAAGCAATGTTTTCATAGCCACATTTCGCAAATGTCAAATTTTTAATTTTTAATTGGCCTAGAGGCATATTTATGTAACTAAATGTGTATATGTGTGTATATGGTGTAACTCAATTCATTTATACACGACACTTTTCCTGATGTGAATTCAATTAATTCAGAAAAGTCGGAAAACATAGTTTTCCAATCATTCAATTACGCATTTCGTTCATTACATTAATTTACCTATTATTATTATCAGATTGCATTCTGATGATATCGTATGATTTTTATCCTCATTCGCGACAACAACTCAAGTTCTATGCAAAATAAAACAAACACGTCATTTTAGGTGCATCTGAAAAATTGTGTGTATGCACTTGCAAAAATTAGTTTGAATTGAGTGAATCATTGACATTAATTTGATTTGATTGGTTTAAATTTTATTTTCCCATCATTATTATAATTATTACTTTTGTTCTTCTTCTTCTCATTTGAGATCAGAAAAGAGGCATAACATGGAATTTTGGATTTTTTTATACGCAGCCAATATTTACATATTTAAAATAATGAGAGTAAAAAATTACACGGATTTAGATATGAAATTCATAATTTATAGATAAATTTGCTCAATACTGGGCCCGATATTTAATAAGAAAAATACAACAAAATACAAATCAAAGAAACGTTTGTTAAAATTCGTATTTATCAGAAGAATAAATTAGCAAATAAACACATATTACGTGAACGAAAATAAAAAAAATGTCTTTTTATTTTACACCATTATCGTTTTTATAGATGGAGACAACAATATTTGATTACCATTTTTATCAGAAATTGCGAAAATATTTTTCAATAAAAAAAAAATCTTTAGAATTTCTGCATTCGATTTTGCAATAATGACACCGAGAAATAAATCGAAGTTATCTTTACTCTGAGTCATGCTAATCTTAATTGTGATGAAATGGCGCTATAATTTATGACTTTTTTTTTAATGACAATATCAACTTGGATTATTCACTATAAAAATATAACATCACCTAAATTCTAATTGGATTTCCCGGGTATTCTTTTTTGAGAAGAAAAGCAAATCAGTATGGTTACAACTATAATCAGGACCACGATGATTATAGGAATGGTTACTTGTTGCTATGGAAATTGAAATTATTCGTAAATAAATTTACTATAGAAAAAAATCAGACGCTGCGCCCAATATAAAAAACTATTATATCAACAAAATACGAAACGAAATACGTTTCGATATCTTTCTCGCATGAACATATTTTTGACCGTACGTACGTATTCCAAAGAATTTTTAAAAAATATATATGTTCATTTCTATAGTTGCAAAAAAAAAAAGAATTGGCCGTCCGTACGGGCACTAATGTCGCTCGTGTTTGTACGGACATTTTGACCGTACGTACGTAATATACTTAAACTGTTTTTGTCCGTCCGTCCGGGCACTTATGTCCCTGAGCCGAAAACTTCATAGTAAAAATACTTCACTTTTTGGTTGATTTCCATCCAGGTTACTTTTTCACGATATTTTTGGAAAATTGATAATATATTAATAACATAATGATGTTCGCGTTAATAAGATTTATCTTATTAATTCATAACATATTTTTCGGAAATTAATAAGATTTATCTTATTAAAAAACTATTGAAATATGTTATCAATATGTTAGCGGTCAACATATTAATAACATATCGATTTTGTCAAGCTGTAGTTCCAACTTCCAAGTTCAATTTCTCCAAATTGTGCATATGACCGAATGCAAAATTTCTGATGACACTAATTTTATTGAATGACAAATCAACATTCACAACTCTCTTAGCATTTGCAAATAAAAACGATGGAATTTCCATGAGTTCATTGCATGAAACAATAAAATTAAGTAGACGAAAATTATGTGTAAAAACAACTGTTAAATCACAACTATCTCTAGTAATACAATAGATAGCAATTACTGATGTATGGATATTTCGAAAGTGTTGCAAATGCTGTATAAACAAGATTGTGTTCCATGTTTTACAAGTTTGGTGGAATGAAAAATTAACATCTTTATAGTTTGAAGATTTATGCAATTTGATGCTTGTTATCGCGATATATCTAGTTCTCGGTTAAATGCAGGTTATGATTTATTGTAGATAATATCTTTAATCCGACATCAAAAATTATATTCTTACCTTACAGTTTTCTTTTCGAAAACAATGATTTCCGATGAAGCTTCTATTGCCTTCAAATAAATTAATTCAAAATATTGACAAAATATCATTTTCGATATTTTTTCCAAAAAAAACACAAAAATTTACTTTCTAATTTACTTTATTTATTTTTTAATTAATTAATTTTTTTTTTTTGATTTTTTTTCACTCACTTATCGATGAATTAAAACGGCCTCTTTCATTATTTGAATTGAACGCGTTTTTGTTGTTTTTTTTTTTAATTAGTTTGCACTTAATTTGCTTGATATTGACTTATTTCTATTTTGTGTGTGGTGTATGTATGTTTTGATGATGTAAAGTAATGGTGCCATTTGTTGTTTTTGAATCTCATTGAAATGATTCAATTGAGCACGTAGATAAAAAATATTTCTTAAAGTGGATCATATCATTTTAAATCCATCTGAATTTAGCACATAATTGCTAAAGGAATCTGATTTGCTACAACGACCGTGCAATGATTTTGCAAGGGCAAAAGGTGTCTCAATTTAGTGTTTTTATTGAAACGGAAATAGAGCGCTCAAAAGCGAGTTTAAGAAGAATATAAGTATAGTCTACAATTTATTTTTTTAGAAATGACGATTTCTATGAGATAAAAAAAATTAATATGAACGTAAAGCATAGTATAATTAGGTGTAATTTTGAGATTAAATAAAACCACAAATATCACCACTAGCTAAGACATGAAGGAAAAATAACCGAATATCTGTATGAATTATTTAAAAAAAAACTAAAAATAGAGAAATGAAAACCACATAAAAAGTTTGTTGGTTTTGCAATTAAAGAAAAATTTTTATCGAGTGAATTTAGTTTTTAACTGGTAAAACTGGTGGTGGATAGTTGAATGGAACTGATTGAACTGTATTATATGGTAGAGATGGTGGCGGTAAATTGTAGAGAGAAGGAATGCCAGATGACATATAAGATTGATGCTGTTGGCCGTAAGCATTTGGAATAACTGAAGATGATTTCGATTGGAAACCATTATACTTGGATTGATCGGCAGTGGTTCGGGATTGATTTGCTGACGAACCATTTACAGCCGACGATGCATCATAGTTTCCATAGCCATTCTTTGTAGCTGACGATGAATAGTTTGAGGCTGTGGATCGTGGTGTATACGCTTGATTTGTACTTCCAGTATTGCCATTGTATGTCCGTGGCTGATATGATGCATTGCCATTTTGTGCACTTGAGAAGCGTGACATTGGACGTTGATTAGCGCCATTTCCATAGCCACCATTATTTGGACGTTGACCGTTGGACATTTGCTGTGAACGATTACGGAAATCATTCATACCGCCACCATTTGGGCGACCGCGTTGATTAAATTTGCCACGGTTTGATCCATTACCACCTTTCTTTACCAAATCCAAAAGTCGAGGATTTACAACCTATTTCATTGAAAAGAAACGATGTAAAATAAACAGAAAAAAAATCCATTAAGATTTGTTGTTCATTTGAAATGTTGCATTTTTCAATGACTTGCCTGATTTGCTTCCTTCAGCACATTAACCAGGTCACCGGCTTTTGATGCATTTTGAATGGTAAATAATGTATATGCCGTTCCAGTGTTATTCGATCGGCCGGTACGACCGATTCTATGAATATACTCTTCGCTGTTGTTCGGATAGTCGAAATTGATAACGAACTTAACGTCTTCAACATCTGTATTCATTGATCGTGGATATGGGAAGTATAAATTTAGTTCAATTCTATTGTTAATTAACAATTATTTTCACAAAAATATATAGAAAATCAACTCATTTTTTTTTAATTTTTTATGAAGATAATGTTTGTTTGTGTTTCTTATATTCGTCAATGAATGTCAATTCACGAAAAAAACCAAATTCTATTACGTTGCACTTTAAATCACACTAATTTTTTAATGAAATTTTCCCTTAAAAACTATTGGACCTGAATTGGTTTGTTTATGCAAAAAAAAAAAAAAATTAAATAACTATGTTTTAAACACAAAAAAGCATCAACAAAAACAAGAGATGTATGTGTGTATGTTTAAAATTAGTCCATTTCGTTTACATACCTTTGCGTTTATTACATGTGTGTGATTTGAAAATAAAAAATTAATAACTGTTCGTTTATCAAACGAGTAAAAAAAAAACGATGGAATTTCTTGGATTAGCGTTATTTGGGTAATAAACGAACAAAAGTATAAAGCATTTAGCTGATTTGGCCCTAGTCATTTTGGCTTGGTTTGGATTACCTGAAGGTGAAAAAGGAATTTTTCAGCATGCCTCACATCTAAAACGGTAAGTTGCTTGGCACCAACAAAATTCGCTTCTTCCACATGCATTCGGTCAATAGTTATCGTTTTGGTTTGGTCTATTTTTGTGTGTATTTGTGTGTTTATGTGTGAAATAATTTTTTTTTATTTCTGTTTATTTGAATACATTCACAACGCAGAAATTTTTAGGTTCAGAGATCAAAAGTTCAACGCCTATCATATACTGCTTTCGTTTAAGTTTGCGTATATGATAAATAATCGGTTTTTACGTAAATGTGGTTTTTTCGCATTATTTGTTTTTCATGAATATAATAAACATAAAATTATGATTTTTTAGAAAGTACATCGGTAAATGTCAGTCAAATAGATAAAAACGACCAAAATTCGAAAAATTGTTTCAATTTTACGTCCCTGCATAGTAAATGTTTAAATACATACTACTTAGTTTCTTTTTTCCGTTGAGCCCAAAAATTATCAAAAGACAATGGAAGGGCGATAGAGAAAAAAAAGTGAGTGATTTATCAAAGAAACTGGAAATGAGAAAAAAAGTAGTAAATAGGAATAATGAGCTCAAGAAAAATACATAAAAGGCATCATGGAGTCCAAAATTATCATTATTACTATTATTATTTTTCATGTTCGAATTCAACGCCTTACGAGTTGACAACAGCACCTCAACATCTCTAGCACGAACACTCAGAAATGGGCAGGACTCAGAAGGAAATCCCAACCAATTTAAATGCTTAAAAAAACAAATTTTCTTATAAAATACAGTCATAACTAGAACTTGAACAATCTTCGAAAGCCTTTGAAGATAGCACAAGCGTCCACATGTCGAAGATCAAAATCCATTTCAACAAATCAATTAAAATTGTTTTCATTGAAGCAAAACAACAAAAAAACCTCTTGTATGTAGGTGTACACCACATACAATAATCGACTACATTTTCCCAGTATTCACTTTTAAAAAAAACTATTAGTAGAAAGACAAAAATAAAATGAAGTGACATCAATTTTCAATGAAAAAAAATTTATGAAAACAAAACACAAAAAAAATCGTATGCCTAGCTTTACACATACTTGTTTTTCTAACGAAATTTTACCCAAAAAGAAATAGAATTAAGTCAAATGAAAAGTGTGTGTATAAAATAGTGAACAAATAATGAGACCTACTTACCTGCTGATGCAGTCATCCAGTATCGTTTCTAAGTTTACATAAAATTCAAAACAGATAGGATAATCGGTGCTAGATGAGTTAAAAACTGACGAATATTTATAACCAACTACAACTACCGCACATAGGAATGCTTCAGACATATTATTTCGCCACTAAATTAATGTGAATACTTGGAAAAGTAAAGTTCTTCATTTTCATGTTTGGTTTCAATTTCGATTTCGATTCCGATTATGCGATGACTTAACAGAAGAAAATTGTGTTACAAAGTGGAAGATACTCATTTTTTTTTACAACAAGAATGTGAACAAGAAAGAACAAGAATAACAAACAAAATAATTAAATTAAATAAATCAAATTTGATTTGAAGAAGAATAAACCGTACTTGTGTTTCCTTACATCGTTTGGTTTTTTCTCTTGTGTGTGCTTTGTTTTGGAAAATTTGATGCTGCTTTGAAATTGACTCCATTTTTCGTTATTTTTTTCGGAAATGTTTTGAAAACAAAAAAAAAACTTAACACGATTTTAAAATCAATATCATTGAGAGAAAAATTAAAAAATGTGCTTAGGTAAAATTGAATTGGTAAACAACACTTCACTATTTTTACATAGCAACAGCGCAGAGATTTTTCGGCCATCACAATATATCTGACTGACTTGAGTATAAATTTTGGATTTAAATTAACGATTTTTACTCTCTACCACTCATATAATAACATCATCATCATAATATAAAATAGTTAAAAATAAAATCAAATAAAATGTATGTAACAAATGGTTTGACATTCGATGAAAAATCAATCACTCTTGTTCCATTGCAGCAGTGATCAACTGACCATTCCATCGAATATCAACTCCAATTATTATATCGGAAAAAATATGTAAAATTTCAATTAGCAAAAAAAAAAGAGAAAAAGTGAGATAAACAATCTTAGAATGTAACAAAAAGATCCGTGTTTGGGATGCGCATTACTTCTTTTTAAAATTGTTTCTTCTCGCTCTTCATGTTCAGTGTGTGCGCGTGTGTTTCTCGCATGTTCCCCATGTTTTCTTTTTTTATTATTTTCTTTCAATTCTTCTTCTCTTTTTCTCTTTGAAATTAAGCCATTGAGTTCACCGAATCAACACACGGTTACAGTGTCTGATTTTGGTATGAGTAACATGTTCACGTAATCTTACCTAATCCCCGAGCAGCAACATCAGTTGCCACCAGAATTGCTTGACGTCCACGACGAAAAGCGTTTAATACGTAGTCACGCTCTTGTTGTGATTTATCGCCATGAATAGCACATGCTTTCCATCCGCCTCGGTTTATTGACCGTGTCAAATCATCGACTTTACGTTTTGTCTCAACAAATATAATGATCTTGGAATCGGGATCATTTATTTCACCCAACAATCGCATCAGTTTATCCTGTTTTTCTTCATCGCCGCATACATCGATGATTTGCAATATGTTGTGGTTGGCCGACAAATTCACCGAACCAATGTTCACCTGAATGTAGGACTGGAGAAATTCTTCGGCCAACATTCGTACTTCTTTTGGCCATGTTGCGCTCCACATCAATACTTGACGATCTGGACGGATTTGACCAATGATTTTACGAATCTGAGGCTCGAAGCCCATGTCAAGCATGCGATCAGCTATAATATAAAAAATAATAAAAAATATTATTAACATGGTGCATAAAAGAAAAGCGTCTCATTTTGTTTTACCTTCATCAAGAACGAGATAAGTGCATCGACGTAAATTGGTAGTTCCCTTTTCAAGAAAATCAATCAATCGTCCCGGTGTTGCGATGACCACATCAACACCACGTTCCAAATCTCTGGCTTGGCTACCTTTTGGTGCACCGCCAAAAATACAAGTGTTACTCACGCGTGCGTTCGCTCCAAAATCGTGGCATACTTGCTGAATTTGTTGAGCAAGCTCACGTGTTGGTGCCAAAATCAATGCAATTGGACCGTCACCACGTTTTCTACGTTCTTGATTGTTAATATGGATCATGCTTGGCAAAACATATGCCAATGTTTTTCCCGAACCAGTTTTAGCAATGCCAACCAAGTCACGGCCGCTCAATGCGATTGGCCAACTGGTTGCTTGGATTGCCGTTGGTTTTTCGAAGCCTTGTCGTCGTACACTGGTCATGACATAGTCAGGAAACATGTCATCATGAAATTCCATATTTGGTGATGGCAGTTCACTTCCGCGCAACGTAATTTCGTTGCTTTTAAAAAACGTGTCAATGTCATTTTGTGCAACATTCGTCAACGGCGTGTAAAAATTTTTACGGAACGGTGTCAACGAAATGTTGGTCCAATCGATGGCTCGCAAATTGCTGCCATTTTGAGATGCCTGCTGTGGTTTTGATACAGGCGATGATGGTTTTCGGTACGGTTCATTTCGAATACCATTCGATGGTGACCGAAAACGATCATTGAATTTTCCATTTGTACTTTGCATTTGATTGTACCTATTGAATACACAAGAGAAAGAAAAAAATCACACACACATACACATACACACACGCATTAGTTCATGAACAAAAATCATCAAAATCGATTTTTAAAATGGAATGGAAAATTTTCATCTAATCAAATGATTATATGGCTTACGCCATTTATAGAAATTTCGTATTTCAAAGCGATAATATTTTATTAGTTGAAGAAAAAAAAGATGGCGATTCATTTTTTTCACACAACAGAACTACGTTTTCAACTCAAATATCATTATAATCCATTGCTACTAGGCAAAGGTAACTTTTTCGCTCTCCATTTATTACGTCTGTATAATACTGTAATGGCTACAGAAGCGTATGAAACTCACAAATATGTGACTTGCTTACAAGGCTAACTTAAATACTTTTGACAAAAAAAATATGAAATTATACTTACATTTTTGATGAAATTTTCAAAATCTCTTTTGATGTCAATTTAAACAGAAATTAATTGAAATTTCTTTGGTCAGTAGTTATTTATTCAGAAGAATTGTTCACAAAGCACAAATGGCGAACACAGTATGTGAGTTAACACTGAATTGAGGAAACAGCGTATGTATTGATTTTTTCGTTCAACCTAGCTACATGTCTCGTTCACAGCACAACAGTTATGAAACGTCGCTGAAGAGAAAGTCGACCCCAACGCTATATGTATTTAATTTTTATGTTTTGAACCAAAAAAATCAAACATATAATGGAATAAATAAAATATTTAATTAAAAAACAACCATTTTTATTATTATTTTTTCAAATGAATTTGCAAAAAAAAAGAACCTTGTACACTGAGTGAGACGTCTATATAACTCAAATGTGGATTTCAACGCGAGTGAGAGAGGCAAACACATAAAAGGCTCACTTTTTTATACAAACTTCTTTGATAGACTATTTCTCCAACATCAAGTTAGAGCATCATTACAGTGACCACTGTGAATGCGCCCTAAATACGTCATTGCTGTGTATGCATGATTTATACATCGGGTGAAATGTGTATATGCATGTATGAGTCAGTGAGCTGCTGTGTAAGTTATATTGCAACACGAAAAGTTGGAAGCTCTGAATTTTTTTTCCTCATCAAAAACAGCAAATCAATTTAATTTGAACCATTCGATAAATAGGTTGTGTATTAAAAGAAAAAATGTAAGTCACGTTATTTTTGATACACATATAAATCACACACATTAAATTGTTGAGTGCATTTCTTTTGGTTATTAATTTATCTATGTGTTTTCGTAATAAATTATTTTCAACATGTCTGCCTTTTACATAAAAAAATATATACATAATGCTTGTGAAAGAGAGCGAGAGCACAGAAAACAATTTAAAAGTAGACTGTTGTGCTATTTACATTCAATACGGAAGCTGCATAAGAAACATACAACAAGTTTTTGTGACCTTTATCTAATTTTTTTTTTGTTGTTTGGTATAATATTTTTGCATCGTGCGTAGGTTTAATCGTGATCGTGGAAACTCAAACTCTGACTTTGGTCGGAATAATAACAACAATAATATGGGCAGAGGGTCTGGCCCATCCCGTGGACCCATGGGCGGTGGCGGTGGTTCCTATCGACGGTAAATATAATTACTCTTTTAACATTTTGTGTGCGTTTTCAATTCATAAATTTTCTATCATGTAAATTTCAAAAAAAAAAATAGAGATGATAACAGATCATCGGATCGACGAAACGGGCCGAATTCAGGCGGTGATCGATATTCAAATAATAAAAATCAACAACAACCTGGCGATCGTTTAAGACGTGTTCGATGGGAAGATTTTGAACTAATTCCATTCCAAAAGAACTTCTACAGTCCATGCGAATCAGTGCTGCATCGTACACCGCAAGAAATTGAACGTTTCCATCGAAAACATGAAATCACCACTAAAGGTACACAACGAAATTCGATGATGTTTTTTTTTTTGAATATTTAATTTAAATGAAATGATTTTTTTTATTCGAAAGGTCGTGATGTCCCACCACCATTGTTGGAATTTTATGAGGGTGCATTCCCCGATTATGCCATGCGCGAAATTCAAAAGTGTGGCTTCGAAAAACCAACTGCAATTCAAGCTCAAGGTATGGCTAAATTTTATGGAATGGTTTTACTTACATAAAAAATTCTATAAATTAATTAAAAATTAAGAAAAATATATTTAAAACAGATGTGCAAAATAATGCAATAATTATTTCATTTTGTTAGGTTGGCCAATTGCATTAAGTGGTCGCGATATGGTTGGTATTGCACAAACTGGTTCGGGAAAAACGCTTGCATATATTATGCCAGCTGTGGTTCATATCAATAATCAGCCACGTTTGTCACGCGGAGATGGTCCAATTGTACTTGTTTTGGCTCCAACTCGTGAGCTTGCACAGCAAATTCAACAAGTTGCCAATGACTTTGGTTCGTGCACTCACCTTAAAAACACTTGGTATGTTACTAATTTGAAACAATCACATGAACACTGAAATGGTGAATTCACTTCGGTACGATGCGATAATTCATCGAAATGAATTTTTTTCTTTGTAGTATATTTGGCGGTGCACCGAAAGGACCACAAGCCCGAGACTTGGAGCGTGGTGTAGAAATTTGTATCGCAACACCGGGTCGATTGATCGATTTTCTTGAGAAAGGAACCACAAATTTGCGCAGATGCACATATCTTGTTCTTGATGAAGCCGATCGTATGCTTGATATGGGCTTCGAGCCACAAATTCGAAAGATTATCGAACAGATTCGTCCCGATCGTCAGGTGTTAATGTGGAGCGCCACTTGGCCAAAAGAAGTACGAATGTTGGCCGAAGAATTTCTCAATTCCTACATTCAAGTAAACATTGGTTCATTGAATCTGTCTGCTAATCATAATATTTTGCAAATCGTTGACGTTTGCGAAGAATATGAAAAGGAACAAGTATGTAAACAATTCAATTGAAATGTTAAAAATATCGTAAATTTTACAATTTTGAAAATGTATTGTTTTGAATTTAGAAATTGATGACTCTGCTGCAAGAAATTTCGGGCGAACCAGAGACAAAGACTATTATTTTCGTTGAAACAAAACGTCGCGTTGATGAAATAACTCGTGCCGTATGTCGAAATGGTTGGCGAGCAGTTGCAATTCATGGTAAATATAAAAATGAAAAAGAAAAAAAAAACGATTGCGCTAAATAAAAAATTAATACGTTTTTTTTCTTAAACAAAATTTTTCAACAATTACAGGGAATAAAACACAACAAGAACGTGACTATGTTTTGAGTTCATTCCGAAATGGACGTCAATCGATTTTAGTAGCAACTGATGTTGCTGCTCGTGGCTTAGGTAAGAGTTTTTGTGGCCAGTGCATTGGTTGATCAACAGAAAAAAAAAAACAAACACGAAATATATCGAACGATCGATCAATCGCTCGCTTCATAGTAAACATTTTTTAATTTAGAGAATAACCAATATCGCAAGTTCATTGGTTACGTAAGACAAGGTTAGATTGGGATTAAGGTCAGTCAGATGATTTATGGCCAAAGGGTTTTGTTACACATTCCGTATAACCGTCGGCTTAGTTGAAATGTGTCGGCTTGTTTGCTCCGTATCTTTCCAAAATGCAAAAATACAAAGAAAAAAAATACCGAAATGAAAACGAACGAGAGTTGACAACGTAATATAAAATAACGCACATACACACATACAACAATATACACAGGAGAAATAAAAAAGATCAAAATAATGATAAAGGAATGGAATCGAAGCTGACGTTTTCGAGCGATTCCAAATGATCAGTTATCTAAATGTCATCACCGCAAAACAAATTTTATAGTGTTTATGTCCAGTATTCACTTCAAAATCGATCGTGTTCGTGCGGGCAGTTCGTGTGCGGGGCACATCGTTTACAAACCGGCCACAACGAACGCAACGTACACTTGTATACGGGTAAGTACTCGGTATTTTCTTTTTGTTGCGTATTTATTTGCAATTTTTCAGTCAACAACGATAGTATCCATCGTGAATTTGTACATCATTAATGCAGAGAAATGTACACGGTCAATAGGACAGTGTTATATAATCAAATCATCGAAGAATATGCATCAGTGAATACTGGATTAAAGACAAATAAAACGTTATCTGCGGTGATAATTACAATTTGTATAGCTGCTGTGCGTCTCAGTTGAATTGTGTGTTAATTATTGATTAATTGATTTCGAGAGCGAGAGAAAAAAAAAACCACTTGAAACCAATTTGTTATTTAGCTTTGGGTGTGTTCTGTTGTTTGCATTGTTCATCGGCACGTGTTTTATTTCACTGCTTTTTTTGCTGGTGTGCATCGGATTTTCAATACTCAACCTGAATCTGATGTCACCGCCTGCCGCATCTATCTACAAATGAAAAATCGACAAATCAAATGTAAAAACACAATAAAGATTTAAAGACCAAAATTTAGAAAATAAAAACCACACAGAAATCGAATAAATAAAAACCATATCTCAACGAAACGTAGTTCGGTAAGCAAAAGACCACTCCAATTTTCCCATTGCCATCGTCGACATAAACGGTGGCAAACAAGGTTTCGATTGCGATGTCAGGATATTTCTAAGTGCGATTTTTTTAGATAGTGCGGTTTATTTATTTTCTACTACTATATGTCGGTAAATTGGTAGAGTAATTTTAACATCAGCCAAATTCGAAAGCGCATCATATGCCATTGCCATTTATCCGTGAATGGCACACTGAAAAACCAAAATAAATGAAAACACAACATTGGAATCGGTTAAAATTCGGAATGCTTGGTCGCTGCTGTCACTCGTTCATTTCACGCGTGCAGCGATATAGCATCATCACCTTGTGCATTCGTTCGTTAATTCGATAAATCATTGGCCTTCAAAGAAGTTTAAATTGATTTTGGTAAATGTTAAGTTCATTTTGTGACACATTATACAATTATACATTGTGGCTGATGACACAAGGCTACTGCTACCCAACCGAATACTGATTTGCAACATGTAAACGAAGAGTTTGGCGACCAGTTTGAGAGCAAATCAATAGCAAGTGCATTTTGAATTTTGTTCGAGATATTTATGCTATTCAAATGTAGCATACTGACAAAGCAACAACAAAAACGTCACTACACACAAAGTGCTTATGGATTATGATGATAATGTGTCTTAATAAGTACACGTATATAGTACTAGACAATTTGTTTGAAGCCGAACTAAACATTTTCAGTACAAGTGAAATAGAAACAGACTCCCGGCCAATTTGTTTGACTGACATTTCAAGAAATAGCGAAAAAAAAGTAAAAAAAGACAGAGGAAAAAAAAAAAAAGAAAATATACCATTTGTTTATTTGTTGTTTATGAACTAAATTTGTGAAACATATGCTTGTTGACTTTGATGGACCATCTTACGCGAGAGTATTCTTGACAATGCAATGACAAAAAATATAAACGATATTAAAAGACATTGGTCAAAATGGAAAATATGGGATAAATGCGTTAAGAATACAAGCTTAATGAAAATAAAACGAAACAAAAAAAACTAGTAGTGATTATGAAAACTAACTGGGGAAGCATGGATATTGCAAAATAAAAATGTGATGTGTTCTGTTCCAACTGCAATGTTCAAACAGAATGGCATGACTGGTTGGTGTCAGAATCAACACAAGCAACGATCAGCATTTGGTTTTACCAAATTTGGATACCAAATATCACGTTCTAGCTTCGTTTGTTTTTAAATCAATAAATTTAAGTAAATTCTATCTATCGAGAAAATGAAATGAAATTCGGCTCGCACATAATTTCATTTCATGGGATTTGCTCTGAATTTTGGTTCTATCATAATCAGGAATTTATGTTCACAAACAATTCGAAAAAAACATTTTTTTTTTTTTGCTTTTTATTATTTGATAACAACAATAAATATCCAATCAATACCATATTAAAACAAAATGAAAAAGAAAATTACCATACGAAACGTTTCAAATAAGTATTCGCCTATAAATACGAAATTATTCAGATGTGGAAGATGTTAAGTTCGTTATCAACTTCGACTACCCAAACAACAGCGAAGATTACGTTCACAGAATCGGTCGCACAGGCAGATCAAATAACACCGGTACTGCTTACACATTGTTCACCTATCAAAATGCCTCGAAAGCCAATGATTTGATCCAGGTGTTGAAGGAAGCAAATCAGGTAAAAAAGCATTCTCAAAATTCATTCAGAAAATAAAAAAATTGCTCTTTATCGCCATTTCATGTTACTTATTGCAATTTCTAATTAGGTGGTGAATCCAAAACTGTTTGAATTATCGAAATCGAATTCACATGGTAACAATCGTAATTCACGTTATGGCGGTCGCGGAAATAATGGCGGAAATAATTTCAACCGAGGTAATAACGATCGTCGCCAATTTGGAAACAATGGAAATAACAATCGGTCCAATGGTTTTAATGGAAATGATAATGGATTTAAGCGCGACAGAGACCGCAATGAAAATGGTGGCGGTGGATCACGTTTCTCAAACAATGATGGACCTGCACGTTTTTCATCGAACAGCATGAATGGCACATCACGTTTTTCAAACGTTAACTCAAACGGATCGTCGAACAATGCAAACACCGGTTCACGTTATGGCAAGAATAACGACGGTGGTATGCGTTACGGAGGTGCAAGTAATGGCATTCGTGAGGGTGGTTCACGTTTCTCAGCGCCAAATACACAACAAACATCTCGTTTCTCAAATAATGATTCATACAATAAAACATCATCAAATAATGATTTCTATCAAAATTCAACATCCAAATTTAAACAATACGATAACAAATCAAATACATATGATAATAAACCAAAAATTCCCATGACCAATTCCACAAATAGTACCGGTGGTATAGCCTATCCACCTTACAATAACTACGGATCGGACGCAATGTTTGCGTATCCACCACCGCCGATTCATTAAACACAACCACCCATATGATGCACAAGGAAAAATTTAAACAAAACAGAACAAAAATATGGTGGTGGATGTAAAGAAGATCCGTGAATTATGTACATTAAACTAATTTTGAACAATAAGTTCATT